TTTCTGCATCAATAATGGATGTAATGAATATTGTGAGAAGTACAACAGATAATTTGACAAAATTGACAGAATTTACATAGAGGAAGAATTGATCATCTTTAGTCAACTTATCACCCTCTAGAACAACATTCTCTCTCCTGTGGTGGTGATGAATGCTAGATTCACCCCAATCATCCATCCCATACAAATGATGATTTTTTTCTCATTTCTTCCTAATTAAGTAACCATAGAAGCTGAACTTTGTCCAATAACTCGTCTCATTTTTTGCTCAACACAAATGGTGAAGATATTCTTCCAAGGATCGTTCTCTAGATGCTATCGCATGCTTGGAATCAAACTACCATCAATAGATTTCAGCAAGTGAAATTTTTTGGAATCATCATTCATTGATAGATCATGTAGGAATCTGATTGGTGCATTTTCCTGCACAAATTGATCAGATTTGTATAGCGTTTGATATCTTGACAAATTAATATATTGCAAAATCATGTGAGCAAAAATTTATATCATACGACTTACATTTAGAATTCTAGTCTTGTAGATCTTTTCATGTTTTTGCACACTCAAAAAGGGAGAGATTAAAAACTTTGGGAGTCTAACTGGTTTTGATGAGGACTACACACATGCCTCATAGGGTATTTTAGTAACTTTAAAATAGTAAAATTACTTTATAGATGATCTTGATTACTAGGTGGTAGGAAAGGTTAGTAACTTCTAAGTGGAATTCACTTAATGGAGAAAAAGCTGCTTTCTATAATTGATCAATAACATAGTTGGAATAGTGAAAGACAAATTTTCATGCTTGACATAGTTGGAATTGTATAAGTGACAAATTTGAGTTTTGAACTCTAAAGGCATGAATCTGAAGCTTACGAGAGATACACCAAATTTCATATCATGAATGACATATCAAGGATAGTTGAATTAAGCTATAGTTATATATTGTCAAATTTTCATCTGACAAAGAAAACCTCTATTTAGAAAGGTTTAAATTCCAACTATTTAGCACACAAATACTCATTCCAGGAAACTAATGTGGCAAACAGAATGTATCAACCAAATCGTCAAATATCAAGGTCCTGTTTTGATAGAACTTTACAGAATCTGATAATATACTTTTTGTGTATTTTCGTGGACAGCCCATTAGGGCTGAAAGGTGTGGCCTGCTCAAGCAGCCCATTAGAGCCTAAAGGCCTGGCCCATTTAGGTGTAGCCCCAATAAAGTCCGAGGGTATGGTTCAGTAACATCTAATCATTAAGTCCCAAAGGGATTTTCACCCAAAATTAGGACATGCAATTGCAACGAGAAATCAGGGACAAAATTCATATGTTACTCATGCTCAACCTTCTGCGGGCAAAAGATCAAAGCACTAGAGCTTCTTCATCCACAAGAAATCTCAAGCAACTCTTCTTCTTGTCAGCCTCCAACTCACATGATAAAATAATGGCCATGTTAAATTAAAAGGTTTTGAATCGTTGTGATTTATACAAGATAAGTGAATATTTTAGCAGTAAACAAGGCACAAATATGACCCAAAAGGCCCATTATCCAGCTATTGGAATCACTGTTGAACAGCTCATTATGATGTATAAAACAAACATTTCAGCTCAGATTTGAACTATGTGAAAAATAATGAAAGCAATCATGTCTACCCTCTTCCTCCAATGAGTACAAGTTTCAAAGTTCATCTTGGAATGCAAACAAAGAAATGAAATAAATAATATTCAAGCCTCCATCAACTCTTCCCTACATTAGACACTTCTTCAGCTTAACAGAAACATATGAAAGCAAAGGAAGCTATGGGTTGAATCAGTAAGAATTCTAGCTCTTATTAACTTTACACATTTCTTGAAACCTCAACATTTAGCACATAAGCTTGCCAAGCTGGATATTTAGTCATTGTCATTAGAGCCATTAGATTCAATACATAGGTTCATTGAAGCCTCAATATTCTGTATCACGACTCATTAAGGGTTAGATATTCAATAGTAGATTGCTGAAACCATAAGAACTAAAGCATAGGCTTACTAAGGCCTAGATATTTAGTGGAAGCTTACTAAAATCGAGATTTAATGTATTTCACTTTACACTTAGAGACAGGAGTAGATCAAATTGGCTAAAACACTATAAATTGTAGTATGTAAATCTTGATTGAACTTATGCAATAGTTTTGAAAAGAAGACAGTCCAACTTTCCTCTCCCTTGGGCTATAGTTCTATAGAAGTCAAACAAACCATAAGTGTCTCACTAGTTCAATTTTCTTGACCACTTTTAGAAAGGTATTCAAAGTTCAAGAATGATCAACATAAGTATTTCATTTTTATTTTAACTGTTTGAAATACACTAATGTGGTTTGCCATAAAAATGCTCTTTATTGATAAAGAATATATCAAATATACATCATCTAAATTAACATAAGATGATTATAATCGTAATAATTCTATTGATGAAATAATTTGAATTATTTATAAGAAAATTTTAAAGTTGAGAATGACCAACAAAATGTCATATGTAATCATGTGTGGTAAATGTTTTGAGATATACTATTGCCATCATGAGATCTCATGGCAAAGCTATATTGATCAGATTTATATTGATAAAAAAATTATTATAAAATTGTAAAATCGTGATGGTTAATGTTATATGTACCCAATTGTCTAAATAGTTTTTAAATAGGTTTAAAATATTGAAAATCAGAGTGTGATGAAGAAGATATTATATATATCTATGGGTTTTGTTATTGAAGCTTTGATAGTGTTGTGAGTCATTAGAACCTATGACAAGCTTTATTCATTGATTCAAAGAGTCATGGACAAGTTACTAACCAAATTCAATTAGAAAATGACCAATAAATTACTGGATTAATATTTGAAATTATGCATAAAAGCTGATAAATTTTAGACAATGATAAAAAAACTATATATTATTTAAGTTTGAATCAGGTATAATAGATAATAGTGCCTATCATGACATAGAAAGCATCATTGAATAATAAAGAGTCCATCAACTAGATATTGATTTAGAATTAATATCTAAGTAGACAATGTGGTGAGTATATGACTCAATCAATATTTTCAGTTTCCAATAGAAACACAGTACAAATCTAGAAAATGGCACAAATACCATATGTTGTTGTCGGATAAGTTTCTTGAGGCATACTAATGTTGTCAATCAAGAGAATTTATTTTAGAAAGTTTGATGGTCAATCAGAGTAGTAGATCATCAATAAGTTATTAATTAAATTTTGATATAAAGATGCATTTGCAATTATATTTTTCGTTTGTGTTTAAAAAGTATGCTTCAAAAGTAGAATGATGAACAATATATGATTTACTATTATGACATAGATCAATCTAAGAGTGTTCTTGTGGTTAGTCATGGGACCTTATGGTGATTCTAGTGCTCCATGTTAAACATGGCTCATTGGAGAAATTGTTCGTCCTTAGTCCTCTCTTTACAAATGTGCTGGTGTACCTCATGAGCAAGTCTGATTAACGTTGGGGGGAGGGAGATCGACTTAGAAGTTTGTTCAGGCCCCAACCTGGTCAAGGTCCAGTTTATAATAATGTAAAGACTGGATCAAGTTTAATGAACGTCATCCTGGCCATGTACATATCATCATAAAGGAATGAAGCATTAGCCTTTTTCCTCAGGTCCCAAGTCGGGGCCTGTTGGTTGTAGTAAATATCAATACTTGGCCGGGCCCCTCCCTTGGTCATGCGTTCCTTTACCGACAGGTCTACGTGGGTGGAAGAAAGGAAAAGACTAGGCTCCACGGGGCCCCCGCGCTGAACCCAAATGACGACATCTTCGCTTTTGCAGCACCTATAGGAAATGAGAAACTCCCAGAATTCGTCCAGATGACCTTTTCGAGCGTCAGAACTATAAAATGACGACTTCATTTCTCCATTTTATGTTATTTATTCGCTTGGCCGACGATAGGATACGCTCTTTCAGCACAGACGAATATTTCTCATTCTGGTATAGTACGGCTTTGCAAGGGCGCCCCGCTATACGGGGCGCTCGTGTGCGGGCCCCATCTCCCATCACATCCATTGCCATCGAATATCTTCCCCCACCTAAAAGAAGCTTTTGATAGTTTTCTAGTAGAAAATATATTTTAAGTACAACTTTTATCTGAACGCAAGGTCTATTTTATGATAATTCCTACTTTTGGAAAATTACAGCATCAGCCGATGACATCAAAAATGAAAATGCAAAGCCTTTAGTAACCCGACGAACGCTTACGACAGAACCACTCATGTGAAAACCCATGACAGACCAAACGACGGGAAAGGGTAAGTATCTAAGTCATCTTAAAGCAAGAGAATCCCTTTACAGTCAATGCCTAGGACAGACCGTATACTAAAGATTTACGGTGGTCTTGGAACCATCGCTCTTCTTCTATATTTCATCGGTTTTAACTTGAGTTGATAACGTTAGAGAACGCTGTAACCAGAAGTACTGGAAGATGCAAGGGGTTCACATTACAGCGTGTAAGAATGGTACCCACGTCACCGGCGAGCTTTTCGTGGTTAAAAATCGTTGACTTTGAGATTTTGCTAATGACTTCGTAATCTGTTATGCTGAACTGCCCGAATTTAGAACAATAATTTCCGTAGGACTTTATCCCCTCAACTTCACACAACTCGGGGTCCCCCCATTACAGAACTCAGGCTGGCCTGTCGCTATCTACTCCCGCCTCACCCGCCCGGGGGGGGGGGGGGGTGACAGAACTCAGGCTGAGCAGATTGATAATAGAGAGAGAGAGAGAGAGAGAGAAGGTGCTGGACCTTGATGGGGAGGTAGATAAAGGGCCAGGGGACAAAAACGCGACCACCTCCTTAATCGTCATGTTATCCTGAGCACTCAGGAACGCTTCCCCCACCTCCCGTCCCTTCAAAACCAGCTCTTGCGTAGAGGAGGGCATCGATAAAAGGAAGCAAGTGCGAAGAACTCTAGTCGATCCACTTTCTCCACGTCCCCCCAACGTCCTTCGATGGGAACTCCGCCGCCGTCTTCCCCCAGCATGCCGCCAGTTTCTCTGGATCTTTCCTTGACGCTGGCTTCGCCGCTGCGACCGTGCGGCAACGAGAGGGACGTCCGGCTCTTCCGCTGCCTCTTCTGCGACAAGAAGTTCCTCAAGTCTCAGGCCCTAGGGGGGCACCAGAATGCCCATAAGAAGCAACGCAGCGGCGGCGGCGTTCTCTGCGAGCCAAGCCTCTCGTCGCCGCTTATCACCCCCCACGGGGGAAGGATATCGTCTCTCTCCGCAGGATCCCTCGATGGCTTTGGCTCTTACAGCGGTGGCGGTGCTGTTCCCCGATTTGAGGATCCCGGACAGGCGGACGATCTCTTGAACTGGCGCAGGGCTTCCGTTCAATGTTCAGAACCGGCAGGAGAACGTTTGCCATCGCCGGCTAAGGCCAGTGTCCACTGCGTTGAGGGCAGGGGTTATCAATGGAGAGAGAGCCAGCCTGATGCTTCCCCACTGTACACGTCCGACGCCACCGTCAAGCTCGATCTCACCTTGTCGCTGTATTCTGAGCAGAGTCATGCCAACTTGTTCGAGGAAAGCTAAGAAGATAAGGACGATACTAACATAGAGTGATTGCGTGGGTACGCGACAGAAAGCGAGTCAGAAAAATAGGGCGGGAGAGAACGAGCTCTCATTTCTTTTAGAAACTCAAATTGGGGGGCCTTCTCCAATCTATCTCTCTGTGTATGCCTCTCGTTCTCTCTCTTTCACCATAAATAGCACTATCTCCCGTTCGGCTTGAATCTTCGAATTCCCCTCAAAGGTCTCTAAAGATGTTTTCTTTCGCAGTCGTATTTTGCTGAGGTGTTAACGTACGTACCTTATGAAAGTAGTTTGGAGGCACGAGATATGATTCCTTCTGTCTGCGCAGTTGCTTTACTGTAACTTTGCCGACCCGTTCTAGGGCGGTCACGAGGGGCCTTCGGGTTGTGAAATTGATTGCCCAACGAGACTCTCTCCCCCCCTCTGTCCATGTTTCTCTCTTTCCCTGTCTCCCACTCTCACTCTACCCTCTATCTCCCTCTCTTCCCATCTCTAGCTCGCCGATCCTATTACTCAATTAAACCCGTGGTTTATTGACCCGCAGGAAAGTGTAACTCACGCTCCCCTCGGACGGAAGCAGGTAACAGCACCGTGTTTGGCGGATGATTGGCTCTTTTAACCTTAAAAATGAGACCCATGGATTTATCAGTGCTGGAGTAGGGGAAGTGAGGGCCATTTCGAGGCTATCGAGGACGACTGACGACTGGGAGGGATCGGAAACTGCGGGCGAAAGGGCTGAAAGCGAGGGATTCGACGCTATTGAAAAGTCTTCCCTTCTCTATGATATCCAACTCACGGGACGCTTCGAGCCATGGGGAGTTCTTCTCGTCAGTCCTTAAACAGTTGCCCTCAACAGTGCAGGAGGCCTCCTGCCTGTATCTCTCTCGTACCGTGTGGGGCATTGGTAACTGAAGTAAACCTATAGAGACTGTGGAAAGTGGAGAAGGACATGATCCCATCGGCATCCCAGCCTTACTCTCGCCGTTTCTGCGGGCTTGGAGGCTAAATAATAAATGGAGATGATACTCGTCAGGTACCTTCCTCCCCGACTCCCATCATCATCCATCAACTCCATCTCCGTCGAGTTACCGCAAATGCACGGCGAACGACAAGCCATGTGAAGAGACCTCGCGCTTGACCCGGAGTCGCCACTACTGTCTCGGAAAGTTTCAAGGGATAAGTACGTTAGGTCCTTGGAACGTAAAATATTGGCTCGTCTTTCTTTCTCTCTTTGCATATATCTATACTACTCTACGTTATCGCATCGCTTGCCTGTCCCGTTTCTCCCAGGGGAAGTGTGGGCTAGACCCTTTCTACCTCAGTGGATAGATTAGGCACGCCGCCAGTTCCATGCCAAAATTGATCGTACGACATGGCCAATTCAGACGCAACTAATGATTGCGCTTCCATTGAAACTGTTTCCCAATAGACGCTGCAGTAACCAGAAAATGTAAGTCAATTCTCTGAACTTTGTTTACAAGATTGGAAAAATTTTGAAGTTATCATTTGCAGCAGGTTTTGTCTCTATTTATAGGTTACTACTTCCAATGGGATATTTCACTTACACCTTTTGCATGAGTCTTACACAAATAAATCATGGCCTGAAATGAATTCAATCACCAAAAAGCGTTAAACGTTACTATATATTTTTATACTTTATTCTGTTCATTTTGATGTTCAGTGATAATCTGTTTCCATTTCTACTCGGAAGATTACTTTAGGAATATAACTAGTTAGATCTATTATGAAGTGTCATGGAAATGGTCTTATCAATTGAGACCTTTCTTGGTGCATAATGGTTTAAAAAATGCCACAGAAAGATTTATATATTTAGTAAGTTTTTCCATAGCTAAAGAGATTCGCTCATTACAACATTTATTCCACTTTTTATGCTCTGAAATTAGGATTTTAGAGATAAATGATAATTCGAAAAATCCAAAATTTTCTAATATAAAATCCAGTGTTCTAGACTAGAAATTATTTATGCCATTTGCATAATAAAGAGCATAAAGCACATTCATAAAATGAGCGAATATTTAAAGTACATGGCTCAAAGACTTAGAATAAAATATATAAAGGTGATTCATTATACAAAAAATTACAAGTTGTTAAGAAATAGGCAACCACTTCTCTTGATTAATTGGAACTAGTTAGGTAAAGAGTTGCATTGTGATTAATTGAATTTTCTTGAAATTCAGATTCTAATAATTTCTCAATATTTTCAATATAAATTATTTTTTCTTTTCCTCGAAAATTTTCACATTTTTAACAAAATCTAAAAAATTCATCAACAACACATTGGTTCCTTATCATAAATATATAAGGATTGATCTAAGTAGTAATATGGCTCCTCATTTGGGTGTCCATAAAATTTAGGAACATTTGGAGAGTATTATGCTTAATTCTAAAGTGGACATTGGGATCTATTAGTACATTATGAGGGTTAGATCTATATTCGTTTAGTGTAAAGTCACCTCTCATAGGTCAAGGTAAACATCCATGGGTGCTATATTATGTTTGTTTTGGTCAGCCATATTCCTAATGATCTTTGGTTTAGGATGTAATTTCCTTTCAATATTAGGTATAGGGTCTAGTAAAACTGGTTTTGAGATCATTTCACTTGCATACATACTCCTAGAAAGATGTCTCTATATGGATTTTTTATAAATAATGCAGTGCAGTCAATAAAAAAAAACTTAAATAGAATGAAAAGAGATAACAGAATTAACTAAGATAATGACTATGAAAAACTAATAACATGCAAGGATCTACCTAGCAATGATGACATTAGCATGCAATGTACTATGTGAATGGAAGGAAAGATGAGTAAATATGAAATGTGGATATGGCAAATTTTTTATTTGTATAAGTATATAAATAAAAATAATAAAAATAAGATATTGAAGAGGCAAGGTTGATAAATCAAGAAGTCTTTTGTCTAAAATTCAGGATAAAGTTACCAAAATTTTTCTGAAACTTCAATTTTCCTGCCTTCATCTAGATCCTTCCACACTCGATTCTCTTATTTATTTAGTACTTAAAATAACATGAAATAGATGCAAAAAATAAGAAACCAATTAAAGTAAGAGAAACACTCAAACTGACACTAGTTTGATATAATCTTCCCTAACAATGACACCAAAATTTGATCACTCTTAGTTGTTATGTTAAGAGATGTCAAATTGAATATTTATAAAACCAAATTCACCGTAAATTAAATCAAGTAATTTTAGTGAGTGCAGGTCAACTTCACAAGGGAGATAATATATCTAGTGATAATTTATTACATTCCTTAAAAAAATCTAAATCGACATAAATGTTTCTTGAAAGAAACAAATGAGAAGGGGAGTAGAAGAGATGTTCTACACTCAATCAACTGCAACAAAGACAATTAGATCTTTGTTCCTCCTTTTTTGGCGTCAGATTCTTGATCTGAAAAAAGCAATTAAAGAAATGAAATAGCCTAATATACAGAAAACAATGAAATTAAGGGAAGAGAGAGAGAAGAAACTACAAACACAAAAACATGAAATGAGAGAACTAACTCCGCTGGGTGGAAGATAGAAATGAACAGTGTGTTTACCAAACTATATGAAATCAGATGCAAAAACAAGAAGAGCAAGAGTCAAAATAAATTCAAAAAAATTAAATTATTAAAAATTAAATTAAACCAAATTAAAAATTGAAAATCAAGATTTTCCCCCGTTAGATACCTAGGATAGCCAAACAAATGAGTTCAAGTGAAATCATAAATAAAGCCCTAGAAATGAACAATGACTAAATTTAAATCGCAAAAAAGAAAAAAAAATCACAAAGAAATGGGAAGAACACTATCAGTTGTCACCTATTGGGAGGAGGTAGAGGGATCAAGCTTAAACTTTTAAATTAAATTTTATGGCATTTGGGGTTTCATTTTTGACATGCTATTCTATATATATTCATATATATGCTAGAGTAAATGTATTTTCTCACAATTCCTCTAGTCTAATAATGTAGGACTTTAGTCATGCTCATTTCCAATCTCTAACTCATTTTCTAGATTTGGCACAGTCATCTTAGAATATTTTAATTGAATAATTTCTACTAATTTATGCCTCTAACATGAAACTTAAAGCATGAAACAATGTTAGGGTTTGTTGTATTAATTTATATTCCTACAGAAATATATACTAGTTATTGTTAAAAATTTCAAAAATTTTCAAATATCAATATAGCCATAGTTTTCTCTCATCCTCACCCCCAACTTAAAGTGTTAGTGACCCCAACGACACCATGTAGGCAAATAACAAGAGTATATATAGACAAAATAAAAGCAGGATGTATATAAAAAGATTATAAAGGTGGATTTAGAAGGCTCATTATGTTTTGAGAGGTTGCTACATTTTGCATTGTGTCTGCCCATCCATTAATCTTAGGATTGTTCTGTATTTATTAAAATAGAATAAAAAAAGAGAAGAAAACTAAATAAAAATAAAGTCCCCAAAGGAAACGTGGGGTTGCCCCTCAACAAATGCTTAGTTTTACATCTTCAAGTAGATGTAACAATATCAATAAATCTAAATCACTCAAATGTATGGATTCTTTCTTACTTTAAAATTCATTTTCCTATTAAGGTTTTAATCTTTGGCCATTCACTTTAAATTATTTGACCATTCTTGGGGTAAACAATTGTTACATATTCATGGTCATGTGCTTTAAGAACAGTAAATGGTCTATTCCATCTAGATTTGAGTTCCCCTAGAAATAAACAAAACCTAAAACTATAAAGCCAGACCTTTTAATCCAGAGAGAAATGTCTCTTATTGATGTATAAATTATGGAATGTTGTAGTCTTGGTTTATATATCCACGAATTTTTGTGTACCTTGTTCAAATTCCATTTAGTTCAAGCAGAAGTAAATGATATCACTTTGGTCAGATATTTCAATTTCATTCTACATCTTCTAACCTATATTCGTTCATCTATCTTGGTATTTGCTCAACACATTTGAATTACTAGTTTGGATCTACAACAAGAAATATTCTTTAGTGTTTTCACGTTTGATTTAGTGAGTAGTTCCTAGGTAGTTTGTCCTTATCTTTGTATATGAAATTAGTTTCAATTTTCATTTTGGTATTTTGGTTTTCCCCAAAAACTAAAAAATTAAAAAAAATAAAAAAATCTGGAAATTCTTAACATCAATAAAAAAAATTAGTATAAGGGGATTTAGTTAGGATTGTTTCATTCTCTTTTCTTTTTAAACTGTGCAGGACATGCTTGCCCACTTCTTCATTTCTTGCTGTCATGATATTTGTGTTGGGCTTTTTCTTCTTTCCTCTTTATTCTATTTTCCCCCTTTCACTTTAAATCTTGGGAGCAACTTATCAAAAGTCATAACATTTTTACATTCATTACCCTATATCTATCATTACCTCTTTTTTGGAGCCATCCACCATTCTCTTCTCTCTGTACATCTAGTTAGAAAGGAGTCGTACCACCATTGGTTTCATTGATACATGCTTGATATTCTATGTTCATATAGGAGGAGAAGAATATGTATTTCTAATTTTCAGGTAGGAGGAAAGTTAGTGGGAAACTCAAACACTAAGTAGCCATACCTGGGAGTGAGTGATCTTGCTTTGAGAGGTGTGAGGCCCACTATTTACATGTGTGATGTGAGTAAATTCTTGGCTTATAGTATGATAACTGGAGAGAAGTAAGCTTTACCCTTCGTGACCACTAGCTCTTTCCAAAACTACAAAGGGATCGATAATGAACGTTTAGTATTTCATGGGGATATTCATGCTTAAAAGTGTTATTGATATTTTGAGCACTTCATCCTTATATCCTTTTATTTCAAGGATGGATGGACAACTTGAGAAAAATAAAAGGGCATTGCTAAAGGACTAGCAATGAATTAAGTTGGGGGTTGTTGATACATGATATTTGTGTTGATTATTTCTTAACTTTCATCTGATTTTTATTCATTTAAATTCTGAAAATATCATGTTATTAACAAAATTATTTAAATATTCTTGGATTTACATTAATTTCACTATTTGCACATTATGCATGAATTTTGCATGATTTTGACTAACCCTTCTTGACTTCTGTGAAGTCAAGCAATTTTATTACTAATAAATATCTTCAAGTTTTCATGCGTTTTAGAATTTAACAGAAATCGACAGTAAAGTAGGAGTACTTTAGTGGATAAAAATTAGCTTAATGGGCTAACAGTATTTTGGAGGAATTTCGGTTTTTGGAGCTTCAAAGAGAAATTAGATGAGATTTTGGGGCTATGTCTAGGCCCATTTAGATCTTCCTAAATCCATTTTGGAGGAAGTGATTTCGAAATTCATGGAGAGAGATTAGGAAATTATGAAGGGGCATTTTAGTCATACTTGTCCATGTATAAAAACTCTTTTCTCCTCTCTTTCTTGGGTTATTCTGGACGTGCTCTAGCAAAAGGCTGGCCAGCAAGACAAAGCTCTCCAGGGTCCAAGGATTCTCCTTGCTTGGTGTAAGCTTCTTCAAGTAATCATTCAATCTTCTCTCTTCTTTAACTTGGAAAAAAATGCCCAATCCTGGTGGAATATAAGGATCCAAACTTAAGAGGATATATTGAGGGCTCAAGAAATGAGCACTACGTTTTTTAAGAACTTAAGTTTGCATCAAATCATCATTTCTCTTCATCTCCGTTGCTTTTCATCATTTTCCCTTCATTTTCCTTCCATTTCTCTCTCTACCCTACCATTTCGTCCATTTGCTCTCTTTAAGATTCGTGCCTTTCTCTTGACGTCATCCTTTCTCTCTCCAGTTAGTCCTATAAAAAATTCACAAAAAAAGGAGGTCATCCATTTCCTCGTCTATGGCCGTTGTGATCCGCCGCTCCTCATCTCTCCCGTCCGCCGACCAACGCTGCCGCCTATCGCCAGCAGCTGCACATCCGTTGACACCAGTGGATGCATCGCCAGCCGCCACACGTCCACTGCCACTGCCGCCGCCTGTCGCCAGCGCCCGTGCGCTCGCTGCCGATCGCTGCATGCCTGTTGCCCTCTCTCTCTTTACCCTTTCGGACGTAATCAGAAGTCCTAAATTTCAGTTGTCTGAAAACGGTCATGGGAGATCTGCGAACTGCGTAGCCCTCCCCCCCCCCCCTTGACCCGACCGTCAAACGCCAAGGTAAACTATTTTATTATTATTTATTGTTATTCGTTTGCATTTAAAAATAATAAAAATAAAAAACAATTAAAAATAGAAACAAATACTACAAAATAAAATTATAATCATTAGCTACATTTTTTGTACCGATAAATTCCAAAAAATTCTATTAAGCCTCAAACAATTCTAAAATTGAATTTCTGTCACCTTGTGGATCAACTCCTTACTTGTCCTATGTCTTACATAGAGTAACTAAGAGAAAAAAATTCTTAATTGTTATTAGTTAAGTCTGAATTAAAATAGCAATGCAAAACTATTAAAATTTGGACTTATCAGATCCACAAGGACCACTAAGAGGGAAAACTTAGGTGGAAGAGAGATGACATCTCGAGAAAGAGGAGAAAAAGTAGAAGAGAAGAGAGGAGACTCCTTCTAGAAAGTGATGGCAACTGACATAATGTAGCGATAAGTGTCAAGAAAGTAAAGTTGATAGCCCTTCTATATTCAGGAGTAGCCGATAAAGACTCTCTTTGAGAGCATGAGAGATGAGTTTAGATAGAAAAAAAGAGTGATCTTGGACGAAGGTAATGCATCTAAAGATTCGAGGAGGAAAAGAAAAAAGAGTGAGGTGTAGGTGTGAAAAAAAAATGACCCCACCTAAAAGTACGGAAGGAAGTCAATTTTAGAGGTAAGTAGCTGTCATGAGGATATTGGTTCAAAAATAATGTGAGACATTCATCTCAAGAAGTAGGGTGTGAGTGATATCAAGGAGCTGATGATGTTTGCATTTAGTGACACCATTCTACTGCGAGGTATAAAGACAAGTGATTTTATAGATAATGTTATAATCAATGTAGAAGATTTGAAGAGAGGTTGGATAAATTCGAAGGCATTGTTAGTGTGAAGAATTTTCGGTGCAATGGACTATTAAGTGATGACTTCCATGATAAAGTGAATAACAGTAGTGACAACTTCAAAGCAATCACATAGGAGGTATACCCAATTGACATAGATATAGTCATCAATAAGAATGATGTAATATCGATGGCTCAAGATGAAAAAAATATGAGGACCCCATACATGATAATGGATGAGATAAAAGAAGATAGAAGAGGAAATACCATCTCGACTGAGGTAGGAAGAATGGTGATATTTACCCAACTAACATGACTTGCACATAAACTTCTTAAAAGAAAATCATGGTAAAGTTTTTTAAAGTTTCTCAAAATAAGAACGATCTAACTATTGATGTCATAAAAGGGAAGAAGTGACGGTAGAAGCAACAAAAAGTGCACAAAGGCCAAAAGAGGGTTCAACAAAAATGATCTCATAAAATTGTCAAAGGTTGATGTCATGCTCCCACATTGCATCATCAATGAGTTTGTCATGTCACCTTTTTAGAAAGCAGATGTGATAGTGGGATTTAACTTGCCTCATGGCCCAAACTAATCCTCTACCTGATGTGCAGATCACGATACAACCAAGAGCATGAGTTATGACATTAATCGAGAGAAAGTTCATAGGAAAACCAAGAACATGGAGGACTTACTAGAGGAGAAGGTCAAGAGTGGTGAGGGTAGTGCCACAGCCTTTGAACAAACAAGTTCAATCATTAGTAATAGTGACAGGGATATGAGGACATAGGTTGATATGAAGATAAAAGGAATAAAGTGATGGTCATATGAGTGGAGGCCCCCGAGTCAATAATCCACGATGATGGAGAAGAAGCAAGTAGAACATGTGTATCTAACGTGGAGGGAGCTGGAAATAAGGCGAGGCTAGCGGAAGAGGAGGCACTATTAAGACTATATAGATTGATGTAGCGGCGAAACATATCATACTTCATACTCCGCAGATGTCAAGTTGACGTTGAAAGTCGGGGTGAGGATGTTTGAAGGAGTAGGTGAGACGGGAGGCAAAAGAGCCATCGTTGGCTAAGTGGAAGTAGGTTTGCTGAATTGTTTCTAGCATTTGTTGGCCTATTAGTTCTACTTGCCACAATAGGGACATAAGGGGGAGGAGTTACGGCCCTTCCCATGAGGAGGACGACTGCCCTCAAGGTAGGAAGATGGGCCATTACTCTGACCCCGAGGAGCGGTGACGACCATAGCCAAGGGGGAAGTCATGGCACCTGTAGAGGAAGGCAGAGAGGACAAGGGCATATCAGTCGTGACCCGAAGGAAGCCATGGTGGTGGAGACCGCAGAGGCGGCTGCGGTGGTGGCGGCGTGGCGACCTGGAGGAGCGGCCGACAGTGGCGCGGCGGCTTGGAGAGGGGTGGAAGCGGAGGCAACATCAGCGAGGGGCAGCGGCGGAGGAGGGCTGCCGCGAGGACCGGCAGCCGCTGAGGACGAGGGCCTCGACGAGAGGAATAGCGCCAGGAGGCGGGCGCTGCCGAGAGGAGAAAGGCGCCGCCAAAGGAGGGCACCGTCAGAGGAGGGCGGCGTGTCGGAGAGGGAGGCGGCAGCCGGAGAGAGCCTAGGGATACCATGCTGACAATGAAAAAGGAAACTTTAGAATTCATCATCAACATTAGAGGACTACATGTGTATGTATAGGGCCCTAATGGGCCCTAATGGGCCAGACACTATCGAACAGGTATAACATTTTTGGATCTAGCATCATCCTCAATATATACATAATGCCTACATATATTGGGGCTAGTTTCCTTTAGATCTCCCATCCTCCAGCCTATAGTTCATTTCTACTCCCTCAAAACATCTATAACATATACCTCTTGCTCAAGGGTGAGATAAGAGAATCTGATTGTCTCTTATGATTGTAAGGGTTTAGCTAGGTCCTAAATATGCATACTTCAATTAGTCTAGTTAGGGCTTCAACTCCAAGGCTAGTGGGTTCAGCATATGTGTTTTCAAGGTATCTATTTATGCTACCAAGGGAAGTTCAACCAGCATAGTATCACAAGGACTCTAAAGGCATCAAGGGGTATACAGACCTCTTCTATGTTGCTCATCAAAATGTATTTGTTTACACACTAATCTATATAATATCTATGATCTGACACTTTATTTCCACTTCCAAGTATTTGAATGATCTTAAAGCATTAATTACTGCCGTATCACCACCTTTGGATATGTCAACTATTCTTATTTTTATAATTAATATTGGTCAACAATACTCAACCAAGGATGATAAAAGTTTTACTATTCTCTTTTGGTGTTGGCATGCCAATTATTAGCAAAGCGATAAAGACATAAGATTCCTTCACTCTAATAACTACATCTTCAACCAAACCTACATGTTTTATCGATCTATTTACTTACTATAAGATCACTTGTGCTAGTTTCAGTTCTCTCATATCAAACTATGTTGCATGAGATTAATGGGGCTTTTGGGTCAAGTTTCTGTGAGACTTGGCTCTATAGAACGTCACAATGTTTTCTAAGTGTGGAACCTTTTTGGGTTTCTCTGCACTACGTGCAAAGTTTCTTAAGAAACTATGCATTTGATGGGATATGATTAATAGCATCCACAAGATGAATGATTATACTCAATTGAATATTTTAATTAATTCTTCATCCAAGGCTAGTTCCTTCTTCAGCCATAGTTGAAGTGCTTGCGTGAAAGGAACTAGAGGTTGGTCGTCCTTAGGATCCAGTTCTGCTCTACTCTACTCGCTAACCTCACCCACCAAGTTAGAGAGATCTTTTTCTTCCTCACTATTAGAGTCTTCATGTAAATCTTTGGGTATCAAAGTTTCACTAGTATGGAAATCACCTTATCAATTTGGTCAGATTTATCAACATTCTTATTACTTTTGTACAAGTTTTCAAACACTTCCAGTTCAGAGGGTTGTCACAACTCTAGTATGCTCATAGTGCAGTACTCTAGGTGGGGTTATACATTACCATATGGGGCCATGATAGGCTGGGATGAGAACTCAAGGGGATAAGAGTTCCTTGGGTTACTAATGGTATGACTAGGAAGTTACCCACTTTTCCTTTTTGTACTACTTTTTATTCCTACTTGGTTTTTTGTTAAACTCATGCCATACCTTGTTGTTGCTTGATAACATGTCATTTTTATGTGATAAGTGTCACATTATTGTATATTTGGTGCATTAGTTTGTGCTAAATGATATATATTTAATGAAAAATCAAGTAAAGCTTACTTTATGCTAAGTGCATGAAATATGCTTAATGTGTTATCTTTACATACTTTTATGATATGTTTATGTTTTGAATATTCCTTCATTATACATTCATATGCTTTATAGTTTTAGCTGTAATCAAAATTTCATCCTTAGAATTCGTTTTGTTCTATAAATGATGTTTCTTAATTTTTGGATATTGTTTAGAACATTTCAGAATATGTGTTGATTTATAAGAGAATTATGAGCCCGTTCAAGTAAGCCCATTAAGGCCCCTTTCGTCGGTTTATTTAATTAAATTAAAATGATTCGGGAAATGAGTGGAAATGGGTGAAAATGGCCGGAAATGGACGAAAAATGGGCGGAGAAACGGAAGCCGGTTCTCACTGAAAATCAGACGATTTTTGAGCAAGTTGATTACTCATTGCCTGTAATGGGTCTAAATATAATGGGAGTATAAAAACCTTCGGATTTAGAGCAAAAAGGGGGCTTCATTCTTCCTCTTTCCGCCGGGTGACGGACGGCGGCGTTCTTCCGGCTTTTCATTGATTTATCGAGTTTTTTTTAATTAAAATATGATCTTTTACGATGTCCTGAATCTTTTCTTCGATCCATTCAGGTGTCAGATAAATGCGTAAAAAGAAACAATTTATAAGGATTTTATTCAGGATTTTACTCGAACTCGTTCGTTCACCCT